GGTGGGAGGGGGGGAGCGCGAGAGTGAGTGAGTGGCTGAGTGAGTTTACCCCTATGAGGCGGTGAGAGGCCCGGGGCCTACCTCAAAGGAGCGGGGTCGCGGCGCCGGCTAGCAGCGGGCCCCCTCCCGGTCCCCGGGCCCGGCGGCGCGGCGGCAGCTCGGCTGTGAGGAGGCGGGGAAGCGGGTGTCCGGCCCCCGCCATGGAGGGCATGGACGTGGACCTGGACCCGGAGCTGATGCAGAAGTTCAGCTGCCTGGGCACTACCGACAAGGACGTGCTCATCTCCGAGTTCCAGAGGCTGCTTGGCTTCCAGCTCAACCCTGCCGGCTGCGCCTTCTTCCTGGACATGACCAACTGGTGAGCCGGCCCCGCCGCGCCAGCGCTGGCAGCGGCCTCGGGGCCCCGAGGGGAAGGGAAGGGACGGGACACCCGAGCACGGCGGCAGGGCGGGCCGGGCGGGCATTGAGGGGCATCTCCTTCCCGGTGCGGGGAGGGCGAGTGGTGGAACCCTGGGATAATGGGGAGAAATTTGGGAGCTGAGCAGGGTTACTGAGAGTTAGGGGCCACGGAGGCAGGAGGGGCGGAAAGGAGATGGGGACAAGTTCCTGAGGTTCTGCGAGGATTAGGGGCCGACGAACGTGGGAAGAGGGGAAAAGACTCGGGCGTCGAGGCATAGGAGGTAGACCTGGGAGAAAGAGGTTATGATGTTGGCCAAGAGTATTAAAAGTACAGGAAATCTGAATTTGGGGAGTGGGAAAAAAGGTTGGGGTTTGGAGTTAGGGGATGAGGATGACAGAATGGGAGGAAATTCGGGGAGGATTAGGTGTTGTGGAAGAACCTGGGGCACGGGAGAGACTTGGGAGTTAGGAGCTGAGAACGGATCGTTTGTGTGTGTCTGTCTGTCTCCATCGGAGGATAGATAGGGAAAAGGAACTAACTATGGGGGAAGACAAGTGAGTTGTGGTGAGGGAGATGGCTTTCTGAAGAGTTGTACCAGGGAGCTGTGGGATCTATTAGTAAATCTACAAATGGAGGACAGGGCTTGGGAAAAACCTCAGGAAAAGTGGGGGAAAGGAGATTATCTCAGGGGAGGGAACTTTCTGAAGGGACTGGAGCCCTGGGCAAAGGATTCAACCTAAGAACTTTGAACAAGGTCTCCAGAACAGTGGAAACGGAGAGGAGTTTATCTGAAAGAAAATTGGGTTGATACACGTCTGGGAAAATGGAGAACTTGAGTTAGGCTGGGAACCAAGTATTTTTGGCTGATAGACCTTGCAGAAGACTGAATTGGGGCAGGAGACTGTCCGAACAAAAAGGAGTGTTTCTTGGCTTTGGAAGTAGCACTTGCTATTTTTGATAAGCAAAGCCTCCCCCTGTACTCTGAGTAGGGGTTGTTGAGTTCACTCAGGGTGAGGGTAGAGTGGACATGATTAGCCTTTCTTTGAAAGGATTTCAGGTGAGGCAGCTACTCTTTCTTTGGGCAACAAGCAATGGAGTGAGTGCCCTTTGCTCTTTGTTGGGCACTCAGTCTCCTGGCATGTGGAATCTTGTTTCTCTTGGCATCGCTTGCACAACCAACCTCCTCTTCATTCCATGTCCACTCAATGCCTCAAGCAATGCCAGTAAAGAGGCTGCAAGCCTAATTTTTATCCCACTCCTCACCTAGCACTATCCTGGATGATGTTCATCTATTAATAGGAGCCTAGTAGCTGCGGCTGTACCAAAGGTGATATGTAAATGTTTTTCCTCTGCAGCATCTTTGGTGGGTCTTATTTTATCTTTAAGGTCAATTATTATAGCAAGAGTGGGATTGAATTTCTAGATGTTTAGAAAACTGTTTGAGATGTTGGATGTAGGAAATAGTCTTCAGAATTAAATAATCATTTGTGATCTGCACTTGTATCTTTTTAAAAATTTTCTTTTGATTTTTTTATTTTTAAAAAATTTTTTAGAGACTGGGTCTCCCTATGTTGCCCAGTCTGGTCTTGAACTCCCCAGCTCAAGCAGTCCTCCCACCTCAGCCTCCCAAGTACCTGGGATTACAGGTGGGAGCCACCTTGCCCGGCTTCCACTTGTATCTTTATGTCAGGATGATCTCAGGCAGGGAATATAACCTTCTGACTACCAGTCAGCCTACGGTGTTTAGTCAGACAGTGACATGGGTTATTGAACACACTGAGAAGACCTGTTATTCTGAAAGATAGAAGTAAAGTTATATCTTTTTTTTTTTTTTGAGACAGAGTCTCACTGTGTTGCCCTGGCTAGAGTGAGTGCCGTGGCATCAGCCTAGCTCACAGCAACCTCAAACTCCTGGGCTCAAGCGATCCTCCTGCCTCAGCCTCCCGAGTAGCTGGGACTGCAGGCATGCGCCACCGTGCCCGGCTAATTTTTTCTATATATTTTTAGTTGTCCAATTAATTTCTTTCTAATTTTTAGTAGAGACGGGCTCTCGCTCTTGCTCAGAGCTGGTTTTGAACTCCTGAGCTCAAACAATCCGCCCGCCTCGGCCTCCCAGAGAGCTAGGATTACAGGCGTGAGCCACCGCGCCCGGCCTAAAGTTATATCTTAAGGAGAGTTGTTCTCTTGCCTGCTTGCTTCCCACCCTGACTCTATTTATTCCTTGTTTACACTAATTCAGTATAGGAAGCTTTGCATTTTGTTGCTGTGAGTTTGGTAGGAGAGGATCATTATTTCTCCCCACTCCTGGTGAATTGGACCATTTAAATGCTGCCCTAAGTTTTTAGTTCTTTAGAGTCAGTGTTTATTAGTACAATTATTATGGCTACAAAACCAGTATAATGAATTTTGTATGCTTGAGGTGTGTATGTTTAACACCTAAGATTGTTTTTAGGTGTTGTGGAAAGTGAGGAATAGGTGAGGCCCAGTGTGGATAAGAAGAAAAAAACTTAAAAATATAGTTGGATTATAAAAATTCTGTATGAATTTTTTAATAAAAAACTGTTAAGCTCAAAGACATGGAATAACATGTATACTGATGACATATTCTATATAAAACAAGATACATTTCTGAGCAAAGGAGTGAGCCATTTTAAAATGCATTCTGGTTTTAAAGAATTTGCAAGTCAGTAGCCTCTTAAGAATCCAGGCAATTAAGTAATAATTCAACTGTAAGTCACGTTATCTTACATTTTGGCTGTAGAAGACATGTTCTTTATTTTCTTTGATTATAAAATGAAAAATCATTTGTGAACTGAAAGCAGGAAGGCTTGTTCTTTTCTTTCTTATGAAAGCTAGTTAGCTCCATAATCTAGTGCTGTATTTTGATTCCTGTGATGACCTGGCTAAATTCATCTTGACAGATTTAAAAAGAAAAAAAAAAAAGCCTCATCATAATTAATAAAATCTAGGTAAATGCGTATACACATACATGCATGCATGCATACTTGATTAAAATATTTTGTGTGTTGCTGAAGTAAACATCTGGAGTATAGATATGTGTTTCAGGTGTCATTTAATTTCTAACTTTGGCAACTGTTAACATGGTCCTAGTAGAGGCTGGCAAAAAATCTCTCAATTTGCTGTGGTGGTTAACCTGTTGAATTGGAGATAACCTTCCTGTGGCTTCATCAGTGCCTGCTTTGGGTTCTAATAAATAACCACCATTCAGTTGTCTGATGACTGCTAAGAATAATGTGGTACATTAAAAATCTTTATTGTAAAATGAAGAACATGAGTCTCGTGTTCATTTAGATGGAAAGATGACACCTTTGTTTTCAAAAGTAAGAATTTTTTTGTTGTCACTATCGAAAATGACTAAATTAAATGTTTTGGCTTTGTAAATTGTCTCTTATGGTAACACAGATTTTTTTGTCTGAGGTTGACAAAATTGTGTAGATATTTCTGTTTGTTTAATTTAGAACCAAGTGTTGTTTTCGTTTGAGCAGGTTTGTAGTGTTTAGACTTGAGCTGGCGGCCATGCTGCTAGAGATTGGTGAGACTGCCTCTTAACAAAAATAGTCATTTTTCAGTTCCTGAGTACATAAAGTGAATAAATGGTGTGGTGAAAAGTAAACCCAGTATCAGAAACTAAAGTGAAATGACTTACAGATTAGTATAACTTTCTATAGGTGGAATGTCTTGTAGAGACAGCGTTGGGCTGTGAATGTAGAACTTGGAATTCCAAAACTGGAAATGGGCTTAAGTGATTCTCTAGTTTATTTCAACTTTTCCTGCAGAATTGCATCTAACTCTTCCAAGATAATCCATCCTATTCTTGTATCCCTAAGGGCAGAGATTTGCATGATACCTTATTATAATGTTTAATTACTTTTCTGGTTAGAATTATGTCAAAACTAAATCTCCTTTGCTGCAATTTGAGCTTTTTACATTTGCTTATGTCTTCCTTGGAGATAGATAATATCTAATAAACAGTTTCCTTAAGAAGTCAGAAAGCTTTTATTAATTTAAATCACTGAAAGTTTTCAACCATTTATAATTTAAACACATTCAATTTAATGGGTTTGTGTTCTTTAATGTATTCTAATTGCTTTACATATATATTTCCAGGGGAAACCAACAAGATTCAGAGGAGAGCTTACATACAATTTTTAAAAAGTTGTAGTAAAATATAATAAAATTTACCATTTTAACGAATTTAAAGTGTACAATTCAGTGTTACGTAAGATTTTAAACTCGCTTCTGCCCCTTAGAGTCCTTTGTCTGTTTTTGTGTTAGGTGTGAGTTGTCCTTTAGCTTTTGTAACTAGAGGCAAATAACACTTCGAGATTTTTAGAGGACATTAATTTAGGAGTTAGTACTGGCTTTATTTCTCAGTATAGTTGTAGATAAAATATCTTTTAATAGCATGTAGACAGTGTTGGCTATTTCTCTCCCTCTTATTTATTAGGCTAGTGCTGTGCAGTTTTGGTGTTACAACACCTTAGTTTGTCTCGACATTTCTTCAGGGAGCAATGTGTATGTTTTTGGAACACTACATGTATCCATCATGGATAGAACAGATGTTTTCTAGAAAAGTAACTTGGGAAAAACTTTTTTGTAAAATATAACATCCTGTTGACTTTCTCAACATTGTCAGAGGCACCCTGCTAGATAAAATAAAGGTATAACCACAAAGCAATGAAATGAAATCAGAATCTAGATGTCAAAATCGGTTGTACCTCTTACCTGATCTCACAGTTCCTTCTCTGCCTGTTTTTAATCCATTTCTCAGACACCCCTATGCTAAATGAGTTTTTGATCTACTCTCTAGTTTATATGTGACTCTAGGAAGGAGTTCCTTTATAACAGAGATAAAACTTGATGTTAATACCGGTTTCCTTAAAAAATGTCTGCCAAACAGTAGTTCTAGGAAGAGGGTATGGAAGGGTTGCATAACA